ATCTTATTGTCTGGTGTGTGCTTTTTACAGGACCTACGTTTATAGAAGACGATTGGTCTGGCTAAAGAGAGAAACGGCCTGTTCTATATGCTGAACATCACTCCTACACAACACAAACACTTTGCTAATTCTATAACATCCACAGTTTCTAATTTGTGGCATCTTAGGTTAGGGCATCCATCTTTGCAGCGCCTACAATGCTGCAATCTACCATTTTAGATTTGAATGTAAATACTATACATCAGTGTGATGTTTGCCCTACGGCTAAATTACACAGATTACCCTATGTTTCCAGTGAAATAAATAGTTCAACCCCATTTGATCTAATACATGCTGATCTATGGGGTCCTTTATCTACTACTGCTATTGATGGTTCAAAATACTTTCTAACTCTTGTCGATGACTTTACTCGATGTACATGGACTTGATTACTAAATTCTAAAAATCAAACGCAATCTGTCGTTCCAACTTTCTTCACTTTAATTGAGACGCAATTTAATCTCAAGATAAAGTGCATTCATTCATATAATGGTTCAGAATTTCACCTTAGAGATTTTTTTATGTCTAAGGGTGTTATACATCAAAAGACTTGTGTTGAGTCACCTTAACAAAATAGAGTAGTCGAAAGAAAGCACCAACATCTATTAAATGTTGCTAGAGTAATTCGTTTTCAATCTAATTTACCCCTTAGTTTCTGGGGTGAATGTATGCAAACCGCCACTTACATAATCAACAGACTTTCCACTCCCTTGCCCCCATAGCATATCTCAGTGGTGCAAAGGACAGGAGTGAGGTAGTCTTAGCCTTGCTGGCAGCTGCAGTGTGAGGCTTCAATTCCTGAGATATGGAATTGGACTCTTTGTGGGCACCAGTGTACGACAAGCTCTTGTTCCCTGGCCTACTGGGGCATATTCAATGATTTACCTCCCTCACGATACTCCAGGGGTGGGGCGGTGGGAGCCCTCAAGGTTGGGATTTAACCTTTTTAACAGACTTCCCACTCTCTTACTCCATGGAAAATCTCCCTTTGAAGTTCTTTTCTCCCAAAAACTAGACTACACTCATTTCAGGATTTTTAATTGCTTATATTTTGCTTACACGCTCACTAAAAATCGATCAAAATTTGATTCTAGAGCAACTAAATGTATCTTTCTTGGCTATCCATATTCTATCAAAGGCTATAAACTCCTAGATCTTCAAATTCAGGATGCCTTCATTTCAAGAAATGTCATATTCTATGAAAACATCTTTCCATTCAAACAATTTCCTTTAAATCATAATAATCCATTTGTTTTACCCGATCCAATTCCAGAGTCTTCCTTTCCCATATTTCCTTCCCATGTGTCTCCTATAGCTGAAAATGTTTCACCATGTACTTTACCAGATCACCAATCACCAGATTTCCAAAATACCACTATCCTTCCACCAGTAGGGATGTCCATTTGTTTTACCCAATCCAATTCCAGAGTCTTCATTTCCCATATTTCCTTTCCATGTGTCTTCTATAGCTGAAACTATTTCACCGTATACTTTACCAGATCACCAATCACCAGATCTCCAAAATACCACTATCCTTCTACCAGTAAGGATGGCAACGGTTAGGTTTCGATTTGGTTCGGCCAAAACCATCACTGAACCGTCAAATTTTTTGTCATACCATAACCGTACCATAACCATGTAAATCGGTTCAGTTCGATTAATAACCCCGAAAATAAATTATTTTATATAGGTCCATCCGTCAAATTGATATAAAACAATTTATGAAAAGAGAGCCAATGAAAATAAAAACACAATATTTCAAACAAAAATGCAAACATTATCCCAAATTCTAATTGCAAAATACAAATTTAACAAACAATATTATGAATATAACAATACTAAACTTTTCATTCATTCTTGATTCTTGTGCATTGTAGTTATTTGATTCATGCTCAATAATTCAAAAGCTTCAACCTTAAATCGTATTCAATCTTCATTCTTTCTCACAACTTTTATTAGCATAGGTCAGCACTCAAAATTGATTCCTATATAGTGAATAAGAAATATAAGTAGAGAATACAACGATACTACCTAATCCAGAATGGATTTAACTAAGATTTAAATAAAAAAATGTACATCTTTGTCAACTTCCTCCTCAGTAAACCTTGTCATTCCTAATAAAAGAATGATTTTTTAAGTGGGTAATCAGTTCCACTGCATAAATACCATACCTGCACTGCCACAAACCGATTCATTAAGATCAAATACCACATCCGTCCTATTACACCATCGGTTCGGTTTTTTCGCCTCATTCAGTTCAGTTAACCGCAATTTTCAATTTTAATGGTTCAAATTGCCATCTCCTCTGAGAAGATCCACAAGAATTAAAAAACCCCTTCTTATCTTCAGCAATATTATTGTCATTTGGCTCAAAACTCTCTTACCAGATCTGATCAGTCCATAAGTAAAGTCCTTTCAAGCTTAAGCTCCAGCTGTGATATCCAAATTATCTTGCTTATGACAGGCTCTCATCTTCCCATCGAGCATATGTTTTTACTATCACAAATATGACTGAGCCTCAGTCTTTTGATCAAGCTGTCAAGGACCCTAACTGGTGTGAAGCAATAACTAAGGAAATTAAGGCACTTGAGGATAAACACACATGGACGATCACTAGTTTGCCTCATGGAAAAATTCCTATTGACTATAAATGGGTATTCAAAGTAAAATTGAAAGCTGATGGGTCCCTGGAAAGGTATAAAGCCAGATTAGTGGCTAAAGGCTATACTCAAAAGGAAGGTTTTGATTATCTCGAAACTTTTTCTCTTATGGCGAAGCTTACATCTGTGAGAGTTTTATTGGCTATAGCTGCTGCTATGGATTGGAATATCTTACAATTGGATGTCAACAATGTTTTTTTACACGGTGATTTGAATGAGAAAATATACATGAAAATTTGGCAAAGGGCACAATATGGTATGCTGGCTCAACAAGTCTTTATACAGCTTAAAAAAAGCCTCAAGGCAATGGTTCACTAAGTTCTCAGATTTTCCACTCTTTACCAGAAATAGAAATGGCTCTTTTGCTGCTCTTCTAATATATGTGGATGACATTGTCTTGACAGGAAATGATTTGCAAGGCATGAATGATTTGAAGGCTTCTCTTGATATGAAATTCAAGATAAAGGATCTAGGAGCATTGAAATATATCCTAGGACTGGAGGTGACTCGGTATAAGAAAGGAATTTCTTTGTGCCAAAAAATATTTGCCATAGACATTTTAGAAGATGCTGGCTTCAGTAGTGCTAAACCGGCAAACACACCAACGGAGCTGAACATTAAACTGGACAAAGAGAGTGGAGAATTATTGAATGATGCATCAATCTACAAGAGGCTGGTGGGACGATTATTATACTTAACCATTACTAGGCCTGATTTGAGTTATGTGGTTCAAGTGTTAAGTCAGTTTATAAACCAACCAAGGGAACCTCATTTGAATGCAGCTTATAGGGTATTGAGATATATCAAGAGCATGACAGGACAGAGGATTTTCTTCCCTAAAGAAAATGACTTATGATTGAAGATCTTTTCATATTCAGATTGGCAAGTTGCCCTGATTTAAGGAGGTCAATAACTAGATATTGTTCCTTTTCAGGAAATGCTTTAATATCCTAGAAGTCTAAGAAGCAAAGTACAGTTTCCAAATCTTCAGCAGAAGCTGAATACCGTGCTATGGCATTTGCTACATGCGAAGTTCAATGGCTTTTATACCTACTAGCTGACTTGGGAATCAAACATGAGAAGTCTGCATTGTTATATTGTGATAATCAAGCTGCATTACACATTGCTGTCAACCCTATATTTCATGAGATAATAAAACATATCGAACGAGATTGTCACTTAGTAAGGGACAAGATTAAGGCTGGAATTTTACACACCATGCATGTCTCTTTAGGTAATCAACTAGCAGATATTATGACAAAACCAGTGGGAGCATCTCTATTTCATTCTCTACTGCGCAAGATGAATATGTGCAACATATACACTCCACCTTGAAGGGGGCTATTGAGATTACCAGAAGAAGCTGACGTGAAAGTGAGCTGAAGAATTAGTCAGATTAGTTGAAATTTTCAGTTAGTGTGCAGCTGTAAACAACTGTAATTAGTGCTGTATTTTCCATTCATATTTAAGAACCACATGACGTACAATTAGCGTGACTTTTATCTTCAATACACAGAAACTTTCCTATTCATTTTTGCTCCTTACTTTCTCTAAGAAGTAAGTTCTAAAAGCTACTGGGTTAATCTCAAGACTGCCCAGCACAGGCAGCGTATCTACGCCAACCAAGCAAACTAGTGTAGGTGGGCAACATGGCAGCACACCTGCGCCAACTAGGAAGCACAGGAGCACTTCCATGTTGCCCACCTACACTAGTTTACTTTGCAAACTGGCTCAAGTTTTTGTCCATTCCTACGTCTCTCGTTCTTGTCCCATCTTGATCAAGTACTTTTTGAATTGTATTTCCTTGATTTAATTTACCAATGTCTAAATGGCATTCTTTTGAAAATTACTCCAACAAAAGGTTAGAGACAGTGGCTGTAATTTACCCATTTATGTAAGTTTAACTTGTCTTTTTGGTCAATGCAGCTATCTATATGATAACAATCTCACTAGTGAGTTGCCGATTGAATTAAATAATCTAAAAATGTTGATAGTTCTGTAAGTATTTTACCACACATTTCTCAAAGTATAAAGTTTTTTAATCTAGAAAAGTGCAAACAGTTTTCTGCTATTTTAATGATAACATGTCTTTCGGGGCCAATGCAGTTGGCTAATCAGTAACAACTTCACTGGAAAATTACCTAATTTTCAGAGCTGGACAAACCTTAAGAGCTTGTAAGTCCTTTCCTGAATGAGCATTTTCCGAACTGCAATATTTACAGTTGCGACTTTTGTTTACGTGACATTATTAATTTATTTTCAACAGAGTGATAAAAGGCAATGGTTTTGAAGGACCCATACTTCCTAGTATTTCCATCTTAAAAAATTTAAGGGAACTGTGAGTTGAAACCTATTCAGTCAGATTTCAGTTTGTCAATACTTCAGTAACAATTTTATGTTCATTTACTATACATTGATGGTGAAGATGACAACTGATGTAATGTGATATCTCTGCAGAATTATTAGTGACTTGAATGGAGGTGCTTCAGAGTTCCCACTGCTAAAAGACATGAGAAACCTTACGTATTTGTGAGTAAATGTCACTAAATCAATAAAGAACTTAGAAGATTGTGATAATTTCTTTTAGAACCATATTATTTTATACATATGTTGCGTGCTAGCTGGACGTTAAGTAGCTGTAACATAACTGGAAGCATTCCTAATTACCTTACAGGCATTGGATCATTGAAGGCTATCTAAGTACTGATTCTAGTAGTAGTACCTCTTTTCTTCTTTTTACAATTACACTCCACATCATAATTGTTTCAATATTCTCGTGACTAAATGCCAACTCTATGAGTTACTTAAAAAGAATATACCTAGCAGCTCGCAGTCCTGGACTCCCTCTGGCATTTTAGTTGTTTTCTTTTCACATTTAGATGAGCTAATTTTTCATGAGATTTAAAGTTAAAGAATTGTATAAACTTTTAACACAACCACAGTTCTTATTTCCTCTTCTTTCATTCTAGAAATAACCATTTATTTGGGAGGCATTGGAAATTTCTGTCAGTGGAATATAAGGAAAGCTCATATATAAGGGAAGCCACCGTATTTAATAAGTTACCATTAATGGATAATTGTAAATGATAGCTAGAATATTTAGTTTTTATATATTTCAATATAACGAGAGAACCTCTTATATTGAGGGGCTTATTGATTATGATTGAGTATATTCGAATATCATATGGATTAGAACTCAATTCATCCTCAAGTGATTTCTCTATTCTTTCTCTCTAATTGCATCATCGACAATCGTCTCAACAGTGGCTGAAGGTAGAACAGCCAAAGCAATAGTGACCTGAAGATTGGGAGAGAGCACTTAACCCTAAGAAATATTTAGTTTAATTGTTTAGCACAGAAGAAATATGTTTTGCCGCTCCTATTGATACTCAGGCGTTCACAGTGAGGTAAAAGATGAATTGTGTGCTCACCACCAAACTAAGTTAAGTACTTCACCAAAGCAGTGAAGCAATTAATCTGCGAAGAGTTTCAAGCGATACAGAGAGAAAATTTAATTGGAAGAGAAAGGTTAGGACAAGTTTGCCCCCACTGCTGTGGACCCTATCCATATTCCTTGTGTTCGATCATGTAAATTGCTATGAACTGAACAGAACCAAGCATACTTGCTGCCGTTGCTGACATGTAAAGCATCGCCTCCAATCTGTCATAGGTAGTGGGATTTCAGGAACAATTGATTCTAGAAAAAATGGAAATTTCAGTCACCATTTTCGAGTCCAGTAGTCCACTAGACGACCCAGGGGCCGGATCTCTCAACGCAGAGAAATTGCTGAAGATGAGAGAGAGCTATTATTCGACCATGGAGCACCATATTGCTCGTTGAATGCTAGCAATTCTGAGGTGTAGAGGCTCGTCAATAATTGGGAATTCTGAGGTGGAGCACCAGCCAACATATCTTTATCATGAGAAGCAGAGAGAATTCTTATTGGAATTTGATTTTTATCCTAGACCCCATTACTTTTCTACAATCCTTTACACACCATCTCACACACAATCACACTTCTGTGAATGCAACTATGTTAATTTGTGCCTCCCAGAGCACATTCAAGTTGGCGGAACAATCACATTGGGGGGCTCTGGAACCAAGTGTGGGGAGTTCGATTCCTGGTTGGAGCAGCCAAGTGATGTAATAACCAGAGGAAGGGTTGGAGCAGCTTGGTGATGTAATAACCATGGAGGAGGGTCCCTTTGGGGAAGGAGTAAAAGCTATGTGGGAACCTGGGAACCAACAAGGGCACAACCTGCGATTTACCTCCACTAGTCACTGAGGGGCCGGGGGCTAGAAGTCCAGGATTTAGTCCGACTAAGCTGGGACACCTGGGTTATCAAAAAAAAAAAAAACTATGTTAATTTGCACATAAAATGCGTATCAGTTCAATCCAAGACTGTCAGATTAAAGAGAGGAAGTGTTACTATTGAGAGTAAAATTAATGGATTTTTGGCAGAGATCTGAAGATTCTTAAGCGAATGGGATAAAAAAAGACACTGAGTCATGGATTTGTAGGTGGGCCTGCTGCTTTATTGGTTTGGGCGTCATTATTATTTGATGAATGGGTTAGGTTTTGAAGACTTTAATGGATGATTATGGGCCTCAACAATTTTGAATAAGCAGTATTTTATTCTAGGCTTTGTAAATAGGTTAGGGATTTGATGAAAGTAGGCTTGGCTTTTGGACATGAGTGTATAACTTGATTAAAAATGGGCTAGGTAGTTATGGGTTGTGAGCAAATGGACTATAAATTGTGGTTTCTCTTTGTGGGCGACATGGATGTGGCTTGATTTGCTTCCAATAAGGAGCTTGGCAATCATATTGATGGGTCATTAGGATGAGAGAGACATGGGTGGAGCTTTAGTTGCTTGGGTGACGAGCAAGAATTTTGGGTTCTCAGATCATCTTTGTTTTTTTTTTTTTTTTTTTTTTTTGGGGGCGTTTTTTTTTTTTTTTTTTTTTTTTTTTTTTTTTTGTGCAGGCTGTTTTCTGATATTTCTTCCTACTATAGCGTCCTGGTCAGCGATATATTACTAGATTTTTGGCCGGTATATTGGCCATTAGAGATTTTGATGGAATACTAATTATGTGTTTGACTGAGTTCTCCCGATCTCATTGTGTGATCGGTACACTTCATGAATTTCTTTTTGAAATTCTTCTTGGGCTGTGAACTCTCTAGAGTGGTTTTGGAATATTCTTGAGGTAGTTTTTGGATGTTTCTGTACTATTTATTGTTCTTGCTCTCTCATTGTCACAATGTTCCGTAGATGATTACTTTGATTTGGATATCTTTTTCGTGGGCATGAGCATTGTCGCCACCATCAACTTATGATTGCAAATTAATAAGCATCAATTTGAGATTTGAGAGGGGATGTTAGTGAAATATAAGGACTACCATATTTAATAAGTTACCATTAATGAATAATTATAATTGATAGCTACCATATTTATTTGTGATTTTAATTTTATACACTAAGAGAACATCTCACATTGAAGGACATCGAGTATTATTGATTATCATTGAGTATATTTGACACTTATATTGTTACTTGTTGAAGATAGTGACCAAAAACACGAATTTGTTGCACAAAAACCTACTCCTTGTAATAAAATATGTACTTCTGGTGGAGACCTGGCTATGGAAAAATATGGAGGACGTACCATGTGCATTTTCAGATTGTGAAGTTTCGTACCATCCAAGAGCTTGCCACATTAGTTTTTCCCAATCTACATTAGAAAATCCTGTAATTTTTGTATGTTTTCCTATGCTTCCATTGCTTTTGTGCCCATCTTTTTTCTTTCTTTCTGGATATCGTACAAAATTTAGGTTTACTTTTCTATGTTAAGATAACTATGCACTGCCATATTGTTAAGCTGAGAAAATATGCGTTTGGTCGTAAGATGTTCGTGTGGTGTATTCACAGAGATCTGAGCTTTAACAACTTAAAAGGAGAGGTTCCAGATTTTGATCGCCTACCAAGTCTAACGAACTTGTAAGTGAATTAGTATGATATTATTCAATTGATTTGTACAAAAGCTTTGCTCTGTTATTCACCTGTCATTGAAGCGTGATAATGGAAGACTTTGTTCATGTTCATATCCTAAATCCTACTTTTTATTTCCAAAACAAGTAATAAGGACCACTGTAACCAAACTTAAGGATGTCCAGTTCATATTCAATCCTTAGTGTTCAAGTGGCATTCATATACTCTACTAGGCCATACTTCTGTTCTTTCATGATGTTCTATCCTGTAATCTAAATGTCTAATTTTGATTTCATTTGGATTTTATGTTTGTGATTAGGTTTCTGACTAGTAACTTTCTCAGTGGGCAAATTCCAAAGTGGATCCAAAGCATAAGTGAAGAACTGTAAGTTCACTTGTATATTTCTTATTATTTAACGTCTATAAAATTATCTATGTGATTTAATAGTAGCATTGTCCATCATAAATGACGATGTCCTCAAATTTATACAGAAATGGAATTTTCCCATTTCTCTCAGGACCTCTATTGACATCTTTATATCTAGACATACAATTGTTGTTCAAGCTCACCTTAAGATACAGGACTAGTCTCATAAGTTCGAAAACAATCTCATTTTTACTTTAGTTACTACATACTGGTGGACATCTCTCACTATGTAATTTATGGGTTCTTTTCTTTCATTAATTTTAGAGGATTGAAATAAGTTCTTAAAGAGATATTAAATGCATTTGCAGCCACGTAGATCTTTCTTACAATAACTTCAATGAGACTTCTGATCCATCAATTTTGCAGGAACAATATGTAAGCCCCAATTTTTCTTCGTATGCTTTCTTTCTGTATGTTTTTCATAGCTTCAATTTGTTTTTTCCCTTTCTTTCTGCGTCAGAAACTTGTTCAGAAGCTTTAGTGGAGAAAACAGTTTTTAAGTTGCTTCTTATGTAGATAAGATTATTGTAATCTAAACATAACTTTGTATATCATATTATTCATTCTGCTCCCTTGCCATATGACTTGATACAGAGAACATAGGAAGTGCCTCACTCCTTGTTCAAAGGGTAAGTACTTCATTTTACAAGCTCAGTCTTGATTGTTTACTCGAATCTCATCATCCAAGCGTAGTATACCATCAAGTTTGCAATATCATTTTTTGTACTCAAGTTGAAAACTAAAAACAAAAAGAATACAGTAGTAATGTAATATATCATATATAGTTATAGCACTTTTGTCTGTTTTACACTCAAGAGCATATTCTACAATTTAGAGTGTTGGATTTTGACACTCAATGAATTTAGGGCTACAATGTAAACATCGGATTCAATTTCATAAGCATTGGTCAATGAGTGAATTATTATCAACAATCAAGTCCAAAGGCTTGATCCGAAAACAACATGGACAATTGGAAGTAGCTTAAAAATTAATGCTACTCACGATCTATATATATTATCTACTGAATAGCTTTGAATCTTGACCTATTTAACCCTTTATTGGGACAACTAAAGCCTAACATAACCCTATATATATGTTACTTTTTACTGTAGCCATTAGTATATGATTTGTGTATGAAAAAGAGGAAAAACATGGCTGCTTCTTCATGTAAAATCGGCTCCCATAGAGAGAGAAAATCGGTGCCTTCATCTTGTGTATTTTGGTCCCTTTTCTTGCTTTTTTCCATCATTTTTCCCATGCCTTTGTGGCCTACAAATCATCACCATTATCTTGTCATTT